TAATTTTTTTCGTCGCGCTGTGATGACGTCACATGCGCGCTTTCGTCGAGCACGATTTTGTCCTCCGCGGTTTTGACGGGTCACGACCAAAAACACTGAGCTAAAACTATAAGGAAGTATGTTTGGGCTAAATGTCAGAACAAACTTCCTGAGAGTACAAATTGTCAGCCACTGGATCTGGCTGTCATATATTTTCAAATTGAGGTTGGATATCATTAGTTACAGATGCTTTAAGAGATCATTCAGTGAGCAGAAAGTGCCCGAACTCTGTGATTCTATAAATATAGGTGGGAGATGTTCCTATTAACATTCCAATTTAAGAGAAGATACAAAGAGAAATTCAGACAACAATACCATGTAGTAATTGATTTTTTAAAATTTCCATTTGACTATTCTGAAAGCAGAATCATTAGACGATCACTTATCAACATAAAAACTAGAACTCAAAGCTCTAATTAAACATATTGCTGGAATATCATATGAACCCCTCACAATTAATGAAAATAACACAATTTGTAAATGTTAGGGGGCTCAGCCAATCTCATTGTATACATGTTGTGCTCTGACAAGGTATGAATTGAATTTATTTTATTTTAGGTTGGTACAGAGGAATATCAATAAAGAGACCTAGCATAAAGGTATGTTTAGATGCTGCTTTTAATAAAAACAATATTGAGTTTAATGCATCCTTTCAAATAATCTTATAAAGCCACTGCTAAATGTTGACTTGAATTAATGAAACAGTTTTCTGTTTTGTCAATAATTGACATAATAATAATCTCTTATAAAGGGGCAATCAGTCATGAAAATAGAAATAGTGAATAAAGTTGACTAGGAGCCTTAGACCTTATGTGTGGCATATGCAACATTCATTGCTAATGGTAAATACATTACCAGTTAGTTTGGGTATTTTTTACTAGCATGACAAAGCACAACCAAATGCTGGTTTTATCCAAAATAGTTTAGTATCTATTTTGTGAGCCGAAATATGTACACCATATAGGTAGTCCTTGACTTATTACTGTTTAACAACAGTTCTAAAATTACAATGGGCTCAGAAAAATTCACTTACAACCCAACCTCAATGTTACATCTATTGCACTACCTCCATGAACACATGATCACAATTAGGATGCTTGGAAATCGTTTTCAATTTACAATGGTCCAAGTATCTTTTGATCACACGATTGCAATTTGCGACTTTCCGAGGCCCTGATTTCTGACAAGCTAGATCAATGGTTCCCAAACTTTTTCTGTCCACCGCCCCCTTGGTGCTACAAACTGATCCTCAGTGCCCCCCACCCAGTGGTGGAATTCAATTTTTTTACTACTGGTTCTGTGGGAGTGGCTTGGTGGGCGTGGCTAGGGGGGGGTCATATGACTGGGCGGTTTGCATGACGGAAGGAAGATAGCAACAGTAAAATTCAAAACTGTAACAATTAATTTATTCAAAATCCAATTTAAAAACCTTTTTAGTTAACGTTAATTCAACAAAATTGTTGAACATGATCCAGTGATACCAGGTTTTCAAAGTCTGATAGTCATTTATCAAGAACCTTAGTGACTAGTAACTTAGTAAACTACTTCACTGTTCAGTAAATTCTTAATATGATGGATGGGCTTGATGAAGGGATACCA